TCCCGTGGACTTTATTTTCCTGGTGTGTCTTCAATTCGAGTAGTACCCTGATCCGTGGTGCGAAACAGTCTTTTCTTGTTATTCTCAAAAGCCTTAAAGCCAAGTCTCAAAATTGGCCAATTTCAAATGTTGTGGAGGTTCTGTTGACTCAGGTTTGCCCAAGTTAAAGTTAGTTGTCTGGATGAATGACCATTTTACCTGCCTACCTTATTACTAGCACTCAACAATCCGATTGATTTGTTTGGAGCTAGATTTGAGAGCGAGAATCTTTCGAGTGTTATAGTGAAGACATCTGCCAGCTTCGATTCTCGTGCCAAGGCCCCGCCGGCTAAGAGGAGCGAAAAGGGCTATGGGGACGAGAATGCTCACGGGTGGAGGGCAAGGAATTTTTGATCTTACAAACTATGCCTCACGCGTCTGCTCGTCGATTGATCTTCGCTGTTTATAATTAACTTACCACACTCGTACAGAGGTATGAAACTTCACCGTAACCTTTTTTCTTTTGCTGCTTTTGCTGGCTACAGCAGGCCGCTTCAACTTGAGACAAAGTTTGTAAGATCATGCTCGAGCGTCGTCAGGCATCAATAGGGAGAGCAACGACGACGACGACGCCGGGGACGACGCCTAATGAAAATGAATTTATATTTTACCAGCGAAATTCGCCATTGTCTAGATCTGTTCAATACGCCAATGGCTCCAAAAACGTGCTTAAGCTAAATATGCAACGACAGCGTTCAATTCCAAATGGAAATACGAAAAATTAGCCGTCGTCGTCCACGTTCCGTAGACGACGCAGAATTTGGTCATTTCACGTTGTTGTTTTGCAGAAGGACGGCAAAGAAATGTACGAAGATTTATAACGCACGTGCACAGCTATTGTTCTGCTCATTAAACCTTTTGTATGGTGACGTTCGTCGTTGTCGTCGTCGTCGTGGTTTGCTTAAGCTCCCTAATAGCAGACTTGCAATTTTTCAGTTTTCTTTTAAAGAACACGACACGACAACACGACACGACACAACACAGCACGACACAACACGCCAC